TTTGTGTATATTACCAATCTTCTCCCTACAGATTCATCTGTGTTTCAACTCAAAGGGAAAAAAAAGGAAAAATGAAAAGAAAACAAGGGATAGGGAGAAAGCGAAAGAGGGACAGCAAGGGTGACCAACATGGATTTCTAGTTGCCTTTGTTTCCCTGAGCTGGTTAGAGAAGGATCTTCAACCTCATCGGTATCATCACTGTCCTCATTATCTTCCACATCATCTGCAATGTCCCCTTCTTCATCACAACCTTCTTGGACATCAGTACAGTCATCTGAATGTCCAAGTGATTCCATGAGGTTGTTGTCTTCACCATCTCCATCATCTTCCATATCATCTGCACTCCTCAGTTCTTCATCACCATCATCTTGGTCTCCAATAAATTCACCCGCAGGCCCTGGTGATTTCATGCCATTGTTAACTTCATTATCTTTTGCACAAGCTATGCTCTCCGTTTCGCATGCGCTCTTTCCATCCTCATTAATTACTTCTTGAACTCTAGAAAAGTCATCCAAATACCCAAGTGATTCCATGACTTCGTTATCTTCACCATCTCCATTATCTTCCCTGTCATCTGCACTCTTCATTTCCTCATCACCATCATCTTGGACTCCAATAAATTCATCTGCATGCCCTGGTGATTTCATGAAATTGTTAACTTTGTAGCCTTTGTTATCTTTAACACCATCTATGCTCTCCCTTTCACACACGGTCTTTCCTTCCTCAGCACTGCCTTCTTGAACTCCAGAAATGTCATCCATATGTGCAGGTGATTTAATGACATTGTTATCTTCATCATCTTCCACATCATCCACTCTTTTCTCTTCCTCATCACCACCCTCTCGGACTCTAAGAAAGTCATCCAGATGCCCTGGTGATTTCATAACATTCTTACCTTTGCTGTGTTCTGCATTTTTTACATTATCTTTTCCCTCCCTTTCATCTGCACTCTTTCCTTCCCCATCACCACCTTCTTGGACTCTGTAAAAGTCATTCATGTGTCCAGGTGATTGGATGGCATTGTTATCTTCATTGTAGTCGTCGTTTTTCACACCATTTGCACCCTTCCCTTCCTTATCACCACTTTCCTGAACTCTAGAACAATTATCCATGTGCACAGGTGATTTCAAGACATTGTCAATGTTTCCCTCGTTATCGCCACCTTCTTGCACTCTTGAAATGTCATCCATATGCTTGAGAGATTTTACAACTTCATCAGAAGCAGGAGTCTCTTTTTCAACAGAATTCTGGTTTGCACCTACAACAAGTATATAGTTAGAATCAGTAACCCCTCCATCGCGAATCAGCAGGGGCCAACTAGTTGAATTTGGTTTTTAAAAAAATGAAAAAAAGCATAATCACTATCAGATAAAAACAAGAAACAAGGGGAATGGCACGCAGAAAACTTAAGCACAAGCAGTTAAATGCATAGGTTTAGCAAAGCAATACCAGTTGAAAGTCCAATTTCCAAATTTGAGTTTGTGCATGATGCAAATATAGCAAGATAAGAACACTAGTAACTGGAACAGCCATTCTATATGGACCACAGTATTAATATGTCTCTACATCAGAAAATATCAACAGAAGCTTCCACGTTCATTTAGCATGGTTTCTACATTCCGTAAGATGGTACAAGCGATAGCTCTTGCTTTAGTTTTGGGTTGTGATTTGTTTGAAAATAAGCATGTCATCCACCAACACCACTCTTTCAGATAGATGAAAAGTAAAAGCTAATAGTAAAAGAATAACCTTCAAAAGCATTCAGTCCCAAACTTCAATGTAATAGGAAATGCAAACATGAAACCCAAATAATCACTTCATGCAACAAAGTATCAGCAATCAAACCAGGATGTGCACTTATTTCCAAACTGCCCTTCATCTGGGCATCAAAAAGTTTGCATTTTTATCACTTTCTAACTTCCATAAAACATGCAGCTACACGACTTTCCCCTAATCCCATCACATTAAATTTTCAATTTCCACGATGCCCTTCATCTCGGCAGCACATGGTATCCATTTGCATTTATTTTTTCACTCTCTAACTTGGAAAAAACCACACAACCACACAGATTTCCCCTAGCCCTACCACATAAAATTTCTGACTCCCGCAATTCCCTCATCTGAGCACTAAAAATTTTGCATCCTTATCAAACTTTTCTATCTCTTACTTGCACAAAACCAAAACTGGACTCAAATACCTCAAATTTTATACAAAAACATAATACATTAATCAAACATCAAGAGATAACATAAAATCAATTATATAATTCTCCAAAACCAAACCAAAAACACTACCACAACAAAATAATACAAACATAACAGCATCATTACCTTCATTACCATTGAAGTTCAAATTCTCTTCTAAAACACCTTCCATTTCCCGCTTCATAAACGCAACAACCCATGATTTGTCGTCCAAAATATCATCGTTAACTCCTATCAATTGCTCTGGGCTCCGCTCCAAATCATCAACAACATTGTCATTTTCATTTATCTCTTCTTGTTTAATTTTCACTTCTTCCACATCAATTTCTTCATTTATTTCTTACTCTGTCGATTGAACTGCTTGACGTTTTGAGATCCTGGTGGATTTCTTGCTTGTCGCTTTGGCTCTCCTTCTTGTTGATCGACGAGGAGGCATTGTCGAAGAGTGAATTTTCCCCTTGTCAGAGAGGTTTATTGACAGAGTGATGACAACAAGGAATGTCAAGTGAATGGGATTACGCCACGTGTCATTTTTAACAGCATAATCCATGTGTATCTGTACTATATATATTTCTTTGTTTAATAATTCATTTATTTTTTTAGTGAATTACTCCATGATTTATTAAAATTAATTAATTAGTTCATGTATTATACATTATTTTATATATTTTTTTACTAGTTTTGAACGTTTTCAAATTAGTCGTGTTTTGCTCTTAAATCACTCTTTTTTAATTCAAATTTATCATCTTACTTGTTTCTCTTTTGTTTCTTTCATTTTGCAAAAACTAAAAATAAAAATAAAAACAAATTACTGGAAAAGTAACAAGGAATTAATGAAATGACTAAGTTGTAAGAAAACTTTAAAACGTAAAGACTATATTATAGCTTTTGGAACCACAATGGCTAATTAATTAATTAATTTCATTAAACATTCTTAATAAAATATTTTCATTGAATTAAAAGACTAAGCTATAATTATATCAATCTTTTTTTCTCGTAGAATTATTATTATTTTTTAAATTGAACTATTAATGTTAATATGAGAACTTACTACTTCATCCATATGAAATTGAACGTAAATTAATTCTATATTAGAAATGGTTTCAGCTGATTGAATTGATTTGATTTATTAATATTTTTGTATTAAAACGAGTTTTAAAATTATGAAATTAATTTGATTTAAATTAGTGAAAATATAACATCCACACAACCAATTCTGGTCGATAAAAAACTATTCCAAGTAGATGTGTGAGAGAGTAAAAGAAAAAAGGGTTGAATTTCTATAAAATTATTATAAAATTGTTTAATATTTTTAAGATATTAAAATTGGATAAATAGTATTGAAATGATTTCAATTTTACAATTTTGTTGGCTTGAATCTTATTGATGGGCTACGTTAGGGCCTTGGCTCTGTCAAATTTTCAAATGGACCGAGCCTGAATCTTGAGAATTTATTCATGGGCCGTCTCCATCTCCATTGGACCCCCCTTCGTTGATCGAGGAAACATGGCCCAAAAACTGACGGGCAATCCGAAGATCACCCCTTTTTGTTATTTCTTTTTATTCAAATTTTTTTCATCCAATATAATATATTCATATTTTAATACTGACATAATATATATACACACACACTTCAAATATATATATCAATTATTTTATTTTTTAGTGATTAATAAATAATGAATATCTTTTAAATATTTGAAATTTAATTAATAATTTATAAATATCTAATTAAAAAAAATGAATAAAATATAAATATCAAAAGATTGGATCCATGAATATTTATTACCATCCTTGTTTACTTATTATTATTTTTTATTTTGATTAACATAAATGTCCGGGTTAGATTGCACGCATCACGACTAATCTCACAGGCCAACTGAACATCTTACAAGCCTAGTAGGTAGGTAAGACACCACGGGGATGACAGACAGATGCACAAAGAGAATTAAACTTGGATCGGCCGTAAAGCAAGCCTTGCAGCGAACTACTGAGCTAGATACTCAATTACCCTATTTACTTATTCTTGATGGTATGACATGTAACATAATCTAGAATATGCTCAAGACATTTTATTTAATTTTATTTAGTTTAGTTGTTTTATAATTCAGTTCATTTTTATTCAATAAAATTATCAAATTTCATGCTTTAATTTTCAAGTTTTTTATAATACGATAAGGTTTGACTTAATTTGGGTGAGATGCAAAGTTATATTCTCCAACCAAACAAAAACATTTTATGGTCGTTTTTTATTGAAATAAAAATAAAATAAAATCTTTCGGTTAATAATTTCACCAACCTTCTTTCGGTTTCTTTTATCCTAAGGCAAAAGGAATAATAAATTGCAAGGGCGACTTTAGTGTAGCGTTTTATCCATTTTCTGCCTTGGATTTGGAAAACAGTTTTCTGACTGATAATTCAATATGTGCTTATATCTTGTAGCATAGGCAAGCAACAAAATTCGAAGCTAGAAGGGCCATCCCAAGAGTATTACAATTTATCTATTAGAACTTGGAATTCTCATTGCAAGATCTTGGATTTAAATTCTAAAAAAGATGGAGTGAAATTCAGGGTATTGGGTTTTTAAATATCATAAATGTAGAAAAAATTATAAAATAAAATTATTTGGAAGTCCCTATAATCTTGTTCGATAAATCTAGAATTGTTTAGAAATTTATTACCTGAATATATAATTTTTTTCAGCTTTGAATAATTCTTTAAAAGCTGGGTTTTTACAAATACAAGTTATTTAATTGTACGACTTTTAACGATAATTTTCACGAACTACCCGTGAGAAATATCCTAATTTTCTATTTAGAAGAGAGAGATTGTTTTGTGTTTAAAGTGCTAGTTTTTATATTTTGTTTATATGATTTTTATATCTAACAAACAACAACTTCTTATTTTATTTTAAAATATATATATATATTAATTCGGGAAAAAATTAGAAACTAATTTAATCAAGTCTTTACTTGATTTTTCCAGGTTAAGAAATATAATCCATATATTAATTATAATATAGTCCTTAATTTTTATATGTAAAAATCAAGTACATCGTCTAGCAATGTGTTATAATCTCTTAAATATTAAAAAAGTCATTAATTGTTTGAATTAATCTTCAGTAACCAATTTTTTTGTGTAATAAATATTCTTTCATCAATAATGTTTCAATTTAATATTAAAGTATAGAGTATATTTGTCATGTTATATCATGTTTGCCCTCTAGATAATGATCATTTATTGCATGAATAAGATTTCAAATTCTTTTTAAATCTTATTCCACCTTAACCAAAAAAATTTCAGTCAATACTATTTAAAAACATATAAAATATATTTTTTAATTTATTTAAGATAGTGAATTCTCTCTTGATTATTCAAGTGTCTTCATATAACTCATACTACATCCAATATCTATCATTCTATAATCTTAATTAAAAAAATATGTAACAGTATCAAAACATAACATTCTCTATATAAGATGACTTATTGATCTCAAATTTGAGAATCACTTACACAATCATCATGTGAATCTTTTCATAAACATAAGTGATCTTTTCATATAAAATTTTTATGCAGATCAGTTCAATAAACATATCTTATAACAAACACCTACATATTAGTTTTAAGTATCACTTACATCTCAACTTATGATAACAATTGCTTCATTTCATAAAAAAAAAAACACAATATATATTAGTCTTTATTACTTTAATGAATATCTAGTATTTAA